ATTGATGGATGTACATGTACATCATGATTGTAGACTCTACGATTCATTTTATGTTACTGTGTTGATTCTTCACAAAATAATGTGTTATTTTGCCCGTACAAGAGGCTCAAGATCAAGGAGTCCATTCCTAAAAGAAAAAAAAAGAAAAAACGACTCTACGTACATACAGTGTACAGTCTTGTACTGTACACGCGGCAAACGACGTCGCCACGCTCTGATAATGTCCTTCCCAGCGCAATGATTAATGAGAGAGTAACTATCCATAGTAAAGGCACTCACCGACGATTGAGAGCTAGCGCGATGTCCTTCCAAATGAGACAACCGACGTTTGACTTTTAGCGATTCTAAAACTTCTATTTTGCTAGACTGTTTCCCCGCAAACCCAAGGTATTCTTACAGTTAGCGACCAGAGCGTTTCTGCGAGGCCTTGGACCAAAGCGCCTGGTAGCAAGGCAGTGAAAAGTAACACAGATACTACAAAGCTTCACAAAGTAGTTAGCTCTGGTAAGGTCAACATGACATTGTAGTTGCTAAGAGCACGACGAAGTAACACGTCAGTAAGATTTCTAACCACGCTGAGCGCTGCTAAATACGGGCTGGACTGATCCTCAGCTGTCACTACTACTACAGTACTACTACTAGTACCAAACTGTGCCTAACCTATACCGTTACGTGTGTGCACTTCTAAAATCTAATATTGCGAACAGACATCACACAGGTAAAACGCTGCCTCCGCCTTCCAAACCGTTATCGCTCCTACCCACTAGCACAATGCGCCGGGCGCCACGCTCGTCGGCCCCTGGAGGGCTACATGTATGGCCTACATGTAGCGCCTATGACGTGACATGACAACGAACACCGCATGCATGCTAAGTGAGTCGAGGGCAGTCTTGTTGTCTAGGAGATGACCAATAAGGGACTTGGCTAAAGGTGCGTACAGTGTTGCTTACACATTTCTGTACGGTGATATTATGAGGACCGGGTCGACCCGAAGTGGAAACGTGCAAAGGTGTATGCATTTCAGATTATGTGTACGCATGTACGGTAATCGTGTTCCGACAGAGCGATCCGTACGACTTTTGTTCACGTACTAGCAGCCACATTTGGTGATAAAAGAAGAAAAGAAAATGATAGCAGAGTGACTGTCTACAAAGGATTCGTCCGGCCAATGATGGAATATGCCCCCCCCCCTCCCCCCCCCCCCTCCCCCCCCCCCTGCGTGGATGCCGATGGGATCAGCTCCCTCACACCTGGCGATGCTGGATGCTGTCCAGCTCCGCGCCCTAAGGCTAAAATGTCATTGCCATTGGCCCTGGTACCATACTTCCCAGCCTCATTGTTTGGCGAAAGGTCTCTGCTCTCTAGCTCTGCTTACTGTCTGTATATACACTGATGTGTGACCATGGTCTGCTCAAGTAATTAGTTGCAGCCATGCCCCCGCCTATGCCGCCACGTCATCGCCGCACACGAGCCGCCCAAGCACAGCACCATCCCGACCAGCTTGAGCTGAATCTCTAGCCACGAGCTCCTGACTACCTTCTGCGCTCTTTCCCATGCTGCATCATGCCAGTGTAGAATAGATTGCCACAGGCAGTTCTGGACCTGTAGAGCTTCAAGATTGCTGCATACCGACACCTGCAACAGAGTGATTGCCCAGGGTGCTCTGCACATGACTGGTGCTAGCCATGCACATGTATCACACTGGCCTGCCATGAGCGGACCCAAATCATTATGTTGAACCTCTTGTAAAAGTGGAATATTAGTCATAGCGACGATATGCCTCAGAACTCTTTCTCTCTCTATACGTATATCTCTCCACCACTTTCTTTCTTTCCCTCACTTACCCATCTCTCTCTCTCTCTCTCTCTCTCTCTCTCTCTCTCTCTCTCTCTCTCTCTCTCTCTCTCTCTCTCTCTCTCTCTCTCTCTCTCTCTCTCTCTCTCTCTCTCTCTCTCTCTCTCTGTCTCTCTGTCTCTCTGTCTCTCTCTGTCTCTCTCTGTCTCTGTCTCTGTCTCTGTCTCTGTCTCTGTCTCTGTCTCTGTCTCTCTGTCTCTCTGTCTCTCTGGCTCTCTGGCTCTCTGTCTCTCTTTATCTGTCTTTCTCTGTGTGTCTGTGTCTCTCTGTGTCTCTCTTTGTCTCTCTGTGTCTCTCTGTGTCTCTCTGTGTCTCTCTCTGTCTCTCTCCCTCTCTCTCTCTCTCTCTCTCTCTCTCTCTCTCTCTCTCTCTCTCTCTCTCTCTCTCTCTCTCTCTCTCATATTACACAAATTCTGCGCTTTTTTCTCCATCTGCGCATAAACTCTAGACTGACAACCTGCTTGTTAAATCATGCACCTGCTTTCAGGCGTAAAAACCCTGTTGTAGAGGTCTCAGTCCTCATTTGTTAGACTTACCTGTCTTTATAATGTAACTTACTCTCTCTCTCTCTCTCTCTCCCTCGATCTATGTCTCTCTCGCTCTCGATCTATCTCTCTCTCTCTCGCTCTCGATCTATCTATCTCTCTCGCTCTCGATCTATCTCTCTCTCGATCTATCTCTCTCTCTCTCGTCGATCTATCTCTTTCTCTATCTCTCTCTCCCTCTATCTCTCCTTCCCTCTCTCTCTCCCTTCCTCCCTCCCTCTCTCCTTCTCCCCCTCTCTCCCTGCCCCATCCTCCAACCCTGGCCCTGAAGCAGCAAATCTGCAACAGCTGCAGAACGACCTGACCAGATGCCAAACGGGGGCAAAGAGTGTGCAAGGTCAATTCGCGGCTGCGAAAACGTCGGGTCACCTCCAGCTACATGTATGACCTGCAAGACACCGCAGCCATCACAATGGACAGTAAAGCTGTAGTCTCTGCACCTTCTGCAGTTCACTTGGGCATTACATCATGACTATCGTACTATTCTAAAGAATTTTCAGATTGCTTCTGGTTTATCATCAGGCGCGTCGGAACGACTTTGGAAGTGGGGCGGCCATGGAAGGGGTCCGGGGTCCTCCCCCGGGAAAAAATTTCAAAAATGAAACTTCCGGGCATTTGGTGCCATTTCAGTGTACGGTAACTACAATGAAAGACTTTTTGATTCTGCAAAAAACCAAGAAGATGCTACGATCGGGGACAAACATTACCCTCCCCCGGGAAAAAAATTCAAAAATTGAAGCCAATTGCAAGCATTCCCAGGCATTTGGTGCCATTTCAGTGTACATGGACTTTTGATTCTGCAACAAACCACGATCGGGGACAAGGATTTGCCACGTTTGCGCTGAGATCATCGCGCTTTGTTGCAGTGTGCTAAAAAAAAAAAAAAAAAAAAAAAACGGCCGAAAAAGTGGGGCGGCCATGGCCGCCCCGGCCGGTGCGGTTCCGACGCCCTTGATCATACATATACTACAAATGATTTCGGGACAAATTCTCACCCAGGAGAGCATCATAAGGCACCGACCCCTTGATGATGCCCAGCTGCGAGTTTTGGAGGCTAAATCAGAAGGATGGCAAGGCTACAGTGGGTGTGTAAGCGATTCTAGAAACAAACAAAAGTACACCCAGTCAAACTAGACCTAGGGTGGTAGGATCATTCAGCTATTTCTGAAGGATTTGTGCATGCATGGTAAGATTTCGTCAGCTGTTTCTCAACCAGGAATGGAAAGCCTAGCAGCAGCAACAGCAGCAGTACAGGACTGATGCGTTGTAACTTGTAATACCATCGCAGAGGAAAGTAATGCATGTACTAAAAATCCACAAGGCATGAAATCCAAGCAAGGTAGCTCAAGCCTAGTCGCCATACTGTACTGGGGGTCAGCGGGTAATGCCGGCAGTATATTGAGATTTATATGGGATTTTAAATTTCGAAGCATTATAGGGCATTATCAAGGGGTCAGCGGGTAATGCCGGCATTATATTGAGAATTAGGATTTTAAATTTCGAGGCATTAATGAAGGGCATTATATGCTTAAGGTTTAGGGCATTACAAAAGTATTACGTAAAGCATTTTAAAAGCCGAACTTCTTCCTGGTGATTTAGAATTATCATTACGAGTCCGCGTATCTTTTTGAGTTTCAAGTTCCATAATCATGTTTGATGTGTCTTACTAACTACCCCCGAGCATTATGTGAGCATTATGTGGGCATTATTTGCTTCTTTATAAGGCATTACAAAAGCATTATGTAAAGCATGAAATAGTGAAAAGCGAGCATTACCCACTGACCCCTATACTGTACGCTCTGCATACGCTATGGATGCCCCTGCAGCCAGTTGAGTAGCAAGGAAAATTGCAGGACAGTGTAAATGTACCCATCCCATGCCCAGTCTTACTGGCTGCGTTCCATAGACGAATCAGATCAGGTGTGTTGCTGCAACACGCTGACTGTGCAGCCGGCTACACTAGCTGGCAGTTGGACCTGGACTGAGTGAGTGCTGTGGGTAGGATCAGTTGGCTACTACATGTACTGCCGGTATTACAGTATTGTTATCCAGAGGTATTCTATGGTGATGCTGTGGAGAGTGCTGCACAGTTCAGTCGTCCATCGGAGTAGTACTGCTCCAGCGCAACACTGCAACATTGGCAGGGCCTAGGCAATGGTGATCAGCACTAGCACTCACTGACTGTGCACAGACTCAGTACCAGTCAGACTAGTACTAGTAGTACTGAGTACAGTGACAGTGAGTCAGTCTGTTGTAGTATGTTACAGCTCAGCAATATTCCTCCATGGCATCCTGTTCTGCAAATGTTCTGGCATTGGCGCAGCTTCCTCCACTCACGAACTCACTGTGGCAGTCCTTGTAGTCCTACAGCTCCATAATACTACTGACTGCATGTAACTAGTTATTTACACTGCTATTTGACGAATATACACAATCACACGAACTTAGTCCTCGTTGGAACAATCAACTTCAAAACCAATCATGGTCACAATAATAATAATACAGGATTGTCCAGCATACTGGGCAACGGCATGCTGATTGAAGGTCGCCTCTCCAGTTCCATTCCTTATTATTCTATTGATCAGAAGGGCGAACAGCATATCTTTTGAATTCTTTATTCTCACGATGGCACAATCGCCAATAAGAGATATTCTTTGTACGTCGGTTGATAGGTTGGCTGTTCACCAGCTCGGTCTCGGCAGGTCAAAGTCTCTGATGAGCTACTGGCCGTTTCGTTCAAACTGCGGCCCGTTTCGCTCTCGCGCGACGAGCGCTCGTAGCCTGGCGGAGATCCCACGAATGCCGAAGCGAACGCCGTGCTCATCGATACAGAGAGCAGCGCAGTGGACCTCCAGCAGAATCGCACAGGGGCAGCCATTGTTGTCGTTGTGTTGAGAATCTAGAGCTGGATCATGGAGCGAGCGCTGAACACAAGGAAAATGATGGCATACACGTACAGGCAAACAATCAAAATGGCCGCTAGCGTGATTCGTTGTCTTTCACGGCAAAATCTCTACTCGCGGCAGAAGCTGCGACGAATGCTGAATGGTGATAGTGGGAAGAAGTATACGATATTGCAAGCAAAGAACATTGAGCGTAGGACAGAGTCATTTCCTTACCACAGATCACACACGATATTTAGTGTGAAGGATCGATACGACAGTTTTAAAGACGTTTTCCACCGGAGGAGCGCACTACAAAGCAGCTAACAATAATATTTATGATCCCATTAATTTTCAAAGCTTGACAGCGGATAGTCGAAAAGAACTAACTATTATTACTTGCCAGCTACTACTACTACTACTAGTAGTACTACTAGTACTAGTAGTACTGTCGACTGTCGTGGACATTAAAATCCGGTCGCACGTCTAGCGGCGGCGCAGGCTAGGCCATGCACTCGATGCAGCCGTGGGTAAGCAGTACACGCATGCATGTATGCGCTGCATGCAGCTCGCTGGTCGCAACGGATCAACACGTGCACTGCGTGCAACGACGTTCTGTACGCGCTGATCTAGGCAGTGAGGGCACGGTCTATTGAGGACCTCCGCAATGATTATGTGGGCCTTTGACTACGACTACCGACCTGTCCTAACAGCTAAGGAGTGGTACAAACCGCCCCCCCCCCCACCGCGCGGATCCGACCGTGTGGAGGGAGGGGGCACTTCAACTGTTCAAGCACAGTCGCTACTGACGTCAGTAGCACGGTGGGGGACGCTATGATTATTTGATCCCAAAGGCAAAACTCCGCTGCTACGTTGTCGTCAGCGTCGTTTGACGTAACCCCTGGAAACCCTATTGTAGCAGAAGATTCTTTTTTGCAGCCAAGCCCAGGGACACAATCCTGCATAGTGCTACTAAAACAGTAAAAAACTTTTAAGTAGTGGCTGGGTCCAACCAAGTCATACCCCCCCCCCCCTCTCCCTCCCCCCCCCCCCCTTACAGCAAAGTGAGAGAAACGCAACAATCTCGTGGGTGGCGTGGGTGCAGCAATCACTGCATTGTCTTGTCAAGTCTCTGTACAGGCCAGTGTGTGTGTGCAGTGTAACTGCGCAGAAGAAGGAAATACCTACAAGGCTACAGTGATAGATAGGGTCCAGCGGATAATGCCGGCATTATATTCGGCATTATAAGACAATCCGAGCATCAGAGCATTATGGAGCATTAGAAAGGAACAAAACGAGCAATATGTAAGGTTTGAGCGGCATAACGAGTTTCATAGTGGATAATATCGGGAAATCCCAGGTTTTTCGCAACAATCGGCTACAGTCATGGTCATCATGGTCATGAGGTGCAACCTTTGCATGCATTCTACCGACACATAACTTTGTGATTGTGTTGAAACGTAACACCTTTAGCACTAATGCTACATAATTATAATTAGACAATGTACATTTACCTGAGCACATTGCTACATAAAGACGTTATGATCGTAGCGATGTGGTCAGGTAAATGTATACAAAACCATGCATGTAGCATGCCCAACCGAGGCAGTTACACATATCCGGAGAAATGGCAAAATGGTTTACGAGGTTTTTAGATTAGTGGAGAGCTATGGAGGAGACGTATGCGAAGTGAATATCAAACAGACGGAGGGGAGTTTTCTCGTTGTGCCATAGGCTCTGGCGATAGCATCTCTAGGGATACTAAAGTAGACACTGATGCATTGATAAATTTGGACCAGGATGAAGGAGCGGCTATAAACAGAAAGGGCTCGTTCGAAAAGAACTGCCTTTGCCGGGTGCAGCTGAGGAGGCTCGAAAACTGGAATTTCTCATGGACTCAGTGCCGTAAGTCGATTTGAGCGCTCAACAGCGCATGTCTTGCTTTCCTGGTGAAGCACGTACAGTTAGCTGTTGACGGTTGTAATGCCAGGTCTACAGTCAAATGCTATCAGAAAAGAAAAGTATTGTGGCCAACCATATGTCTACACACCATCTCAAGGAGAAGAAGACAGCACAAGCAAAGATGTAGAGCGGCAAAATAACCACGTGACCACGTGGTTTCAGGATTTCCGTAAATGGGAGGGATCTCGATCTGAGATCGGCTCTCAGGAGCTGGCCTCACGTCTGGTTTTTCAGATGAAGACATTATACACACAGGGGCGTCTGAACCAGTGCGGCAGGTGCGGCCAAAGCCGCACCAATAATTTTGGAAGTTTTTTTTTTTTTTTTACATTTTCAACCTTGTTGATGGCATGTCGACTCTTGTACAGGTACCATGTTTTACATCGACAATGCGGTGTATCATCAGCATGCATATTCTTATTTCTCATATTATTCTGTAGCATTAAAATGTGGCCTTTTAGGCCCAATTTTCAAAAATTAAATCCGGGGAGGAAGACCCCCAGACCCCCTCTCACACTTTCGCCGCACCAATGTTAAACTGCTTCCGACGCCCCTGACACAGAGTGGAAGCAGTGAAAGCTTGTCTGCAGGCAGGAATACTATTTGCCAAGGTAAACGTCATCCCAACAATGAATGTCTGCAGCCAAGTAAGAAAGAGGAAAAAACCGTAGCGTGAATAAACTCGGGGTAGAACAAGACCATTGGAGGGGTAAAGGCGGGTCCGACATTGCAAAGTGTTAGCTGCTGAAGAACGAAGTGCAAAGAGGTCCCGAAAAGGGGGCACTGGTCTGGCCCAGGACGAATCGGAAAACAATTGCTTACAATTTTAAACTGAAGCGGACTGAAAGGGTAACCAAACACTATCCGTAATGCACGTTTACTGATCTTGATCAGGTTGTCATATTCTGTGGTGCGAAGACAGTGTACATACATGAATGCATTACTCGCATACCCAAGAGTGGATTGTATGAAGGATAAATAGAACATACGTTTAGCTCGGGTTGTCAGGAGGCGACGTGTCATGGTGCTTAGCTTGGCACCAACTTTCCTCTGGAGAGCTGCAACACGCTCAAAGCTGAGGAAAGACTTTTGATGAAGAGTACGAGTGCCAAGGCTATGGTCCTAGTACAGTATTGACCAGGGAGTTGAGTTTTTTAGTATTCAGTTGTGCCTGTGCAGCAGGGGTCGTAGCTACTGTGAAACATGTTTTTTCGGTGTAACTGTAATTTCGGTGATTTCGGTAGAGAAACCAGCCACCTAAATTTAGATAACGCCTAAAAGGCACTAGAGTATGCACTGTATGTAAAGGGATGGCTGATCACCTCATTCTACATTATACCTGAAACTTGGCAGATTCCTGATACCGAAATTTTAATACACCTTTCTTTTAAATTTACATGTTATACAGTATGACCGTCACAACAGCATAATGCATGATTGTACAAACATACCACTACCGTACAAGCAATTGTCGGTAGCCCTTGCTGGCTGGCCTTGGCAAACTGTGACTGTGAAGCACTCGCACTCGCTGTACAGCTCATGCATCTATCGCAGGCGAAGTCTCAACGCGCGCAGGCACTCACAGATAGAACGAATCAAACTTTGAAAAAGAAACATTATTTTTAGCACTAGTTTATGGTGCGACGGTAAAAGAACTTCTACGACAACAACAACAACAACAACAACAACAACAACAACAACAACAACAACAACAACAACAACAACAACAACAACAACAACAACAACAACAACAACAACAACAACAACAACAACAACAACAACAACAACAACAACAACAACAACACTAACACATGACTAGCGTCAAACAACTGAACAGACAACACATTTTTCTTCTGAACACACACAATGTATTATGTTCAGAAGGGAAATGTGTCATGTAACTCAGAGGCCGGATAACATACATAAAATAGCCAAGTGCAACTACACTGTACTTAGATCTACCACAAGCCAAAAACAAAAAATGCGTTGACTTCAGTTGCTTGGCGTTAATCCCATGATAGTGCTAAGAATAATGTTTCTCCTTGATACGCTAAACAGCAATAAAAAATATCAATTGCGCACTCATAACCATGTATAAACAATTAAAAATAATGAAACAATTCCAGAACGTTTTCTTGTGACTATCATCACCTTGATACGTTCGATGTGTTATTGTTCATCTTCATGCTGTATTTAACACGCTGAGCAGACTGGTCGCACTATATCTTTCACCCTCACCTGCAGCGTGATGTTTTATGCCCTTCAATTATTTTGCATATACATACATGCTGGCAGATCGACCACAGATAGTGTCTTTTACGCCAGGACGACGTGTGAGCGCGCACTACTTGGCGACTGGTCATATTCATCGGCATTATTGGACTTCAGCGGTGCGTTTGGCACTGTCATTCGTCAGGTTGCTCTGGAGAGGTTAGCCACTGCTGGCGCACCAACGTCCACCACTGCAGTCCTAGTATCAAACACAACAGCCCGCACGAAGCTTGGTAAACAACTAAGCAAACCATTTCCAACGAACATCGGCGTCGTCCAGGGTGACCCAATGTCACCAATAATGTTTATAACTTACGCCGAAGGTTCCATGCGTAAGATCCGAGAGCAAGCTCTACCCGCGTCAGACCTACCAGCAACTTTCACACAATACGCAGACGACACCACTGCCCATCAGAACGAGCGATCATCTGTGGAAGAAACCGTCCGTGTGTGTGAACCCGTTTTCTCGGATGACAATCTGAAGCTTAACGTGGCAAACACTCAATATTTCACTGTGACCAAGGAAGATGATTCCTGGAAATCGGTGAAGCTGCTGGGGAGTATGCTAGGCACAGCAGAAGACATAGCAGCCAGAGTGCCTGCTGCAAATCGGGCATTTGCAAGCATTCCATGGAAACGCCACAACCTGAATTCCAGGCTGTGTATGTTTTCCTGCCTGATATTGCCTGTCTTGCTGTATAATTGTGCGCTTTGGACCTTATCGCAAACATTAACCGACGTCGTCAATGTATGGCACCGGAAGAAACTACGTACCATCATTGGTATCACGTACCTACAACGAATCTCGAACACAGCGCTGTATGCTAGAACCGAGCAGACCCCACTATCCCAAGTCTGCAGGCAACAGAGACTGCTGTGGTTCGGCCATGTAGTGAGGGAAGGCGAAGAATCGTCCTCTTTCCAAGCCCTCCTAATGTCAATCAACACAACAGACATACGACGACCCCGAGGACGATCACGACCCCTTGATGATGCCCAGCTGCGAGTTTTGGAGGCTAAATCAGAAGGATGGCAAGGCTACAGTGGGTATGTAAGCGATTCTAGAAACAAACAAAAAGTACACCCAGTCAAACTAGAGCTAGGGTGGTAGGATCATTCAGCTATTTCGGAAGGATTTGTGCATGCATGGTAAGATTTCGTCAGCTGTTTCTCAACCAGGAATGGGAAGCCGAGCAGCAGCAACAGCAGCAGTACAGGACTGGTGCGTTGTAACTTGTGATACCATCGCAGAGGAAAGTAATGCATGTACTAAAAATCCACACGGCATGAAATCCAAGCAAGGTAGCTCAAGCCTAGTCGCCATACTGTACTAGGGGTCAGCGGGTAATGCCGGCAGTATATTGAGAATTATATGGGATTTTAAATTTCGAAGCATTATAGGGCATTATCTAGGGGTCAGCGGGTAATGCCGGCATTATATTGAGAATTAGGATTTTAAATTTCGAGGCATTAATTAAGGGCATTATATTCTTCTTGTTAGGGCATTTTGTAAAGCATTAAACCGAGCTTCTTCCTGGTGATTTAGAATTATTATTACGAGTCCGCGTACCTTTTTGAGTTTCAAGTTCCATAATCATGTTTGATGTGTCTTACTAACTATCCCCAAGCATTATGTGAGCATTATATGCTTCTTTATAAGGCATTACAAAAGCATTATGTAAAGCATGAAAATAGTGAAAAGCCGAGCATTACCCGCTGACCCCTATACGCTCGACCAAGACCCTATGCAGAGCTGGATCAGGCGTTGCACACTCTGGGGGGTTATGTACTCTTGGTAGTATGTAACAGTCGACATGGTAGCTCAGCAATACTCCTCCATGACATCCTGTTCTGCAAGTGTTCTGGCATTGCCGCATCACTAACGGCGCAGCTTCCTCCACTCACGAACTCACTGTGGCAGTCCTTGCAGTCCTACAGCTCCACAATACTACTGACTGCATGTAACTAGTTATTTACACTGCTATTTGATGAATATAAACAATCACACGAACTTTAAAATAGACCTCGTTAGAACAATCAACTAACTGTTACTTCAAAAACTTCACAAACCAATCATGGTCACAATTATAATACAGGATTGTATAGCATACTGGGCAACGGCATGCAGATTGAAGGTCGCCTCTCCAGTTCCATTCCTTATCTGTTGATCAGAAGGGCGAACAGCATATCTTTGTACGTCGGTTGATAGGTTGGCTGTTCACCAACTCGGTCTCGGCAGTTCAAAGTCTCTGATGAGCTACTGGCCGTTTCGTTCAAACTGCGGCCCGTTTCGCTCTCGCGCGACGAGCGCTCGTAGCCTGGCGGAGATCCCACGAATGCCGAAGCGAACGCCGTGCTCACCGATACAGAGAGCAGCGCAGTGTACCTCCAGCAGAATCGCACAGGGGCAGCCATTGTTGTCGTTGTGTTGAGAATCTAGAGCTGGATCATGGAGCGAGCGCTGAACACAAAGAAAACGATGGCATTACACGTACACGTACAGGCAAAAAATCAAAATGGCCGCTAGCGTGATTCGTTGTCTTTCACGACAAAAATCTCTACTCGCGGCAGAAGCTGCGACGAATGCTGAATGGTGATAGTGGGAAGAAGTATACGATATTGCAAGCAAAGAACATTGAGCTTAGGACACAGTCATTAGAATAACACTGCTGTTGCTTACTATTTACTTACCACAGATCACACACGATATTTTAGTGTGAAGGATCGATACGACAGTTTTAAAAAGACGTTTCCACCGGAGGAGCGCACTACAAAGCAGCTAACAATAATTTTATGATCCCATTTCAAAGCTTGACAGCGGCTGTATACAGTATGCCATACTAGTAGTCGAAAAGAACTAACTATTACTTGCCATCTACTACAAAATTGTAGTACGAACAGTCCCTACTGACGTCAGTAGTAGTAACTATCCAATCCGCACTATGCTCCGCTAGAACAATGATGTACTACTACTACTACTACTACTACTACTACTACTACTACTACTACTACTACTACTACTACTACTACTACTACTACTACTACTACTACTACTACTACTACTACTACTACTACTACTACTACTACTACTACTACTACTACTACTACTACTACTACTACTACTACTACTACTACTACTACTACTACTACTACTACTACTACTACTACTACTACTACTACTACTACTACTACTACTACTACTACTACTACTACTACTACTACTACTACTACTACTACTACTACTACTACTACTACTACTACTACTACTACTACTACTACTACTACTACTACTACTACTACTACTACTACTACTACTACTACTACTACTACTACTACTACTACTACTACTACTACTACTACTACTACTACTACTACTACTACTACTACTACTACTACTACTACTACTACTACTACTACTACTACTACTACTACTACTACTACTACTACTACTACTACTACTACTACTACTACTACTACTACTACTACTACTACTACTACTACTACTACTACTACTACTACTACTACTACTACTACTACTACTACTACTACTACTACTACTACTACTACTACTACTACTACTACTACTACTACTACTACTACTACTACTACTACTACTACTACTACTACTACTACTACTACTACTACTACTACTACTACTACTACTACTACTACTACTACTACTACTACTACTACTACTACTACTACTACTACTACTACTACTACTACTACTACTACTACTACTACTACTACTACTACTACTACTACTACTACTACTACTACTACTACTACTACTACTACTACTACTACTACTACTACTACTACTACTACTACTACTACTACTACTACTACTACTACTACTACTACTACTAGAAGTAGTACTGTATGTGCTCGCTTTCATCCTCAATATTATCATTTCGACCAAGAGTTCATAACCCCTCTTGTTTCAACTACAATGTAGATCTACATGTACGTGTAATTACTTGCTAGTAGAGACCATGGAGACGTTCCGCACTACGTAAAGTTGAGCAACTTTACGGGCGGGAAAAACCCGTGAATTCGCGAGTTTGCACTCCACTTACGGAAAGTTGTCTACGTAGAGTAGACCCTAGATAGGGCTCTGATAACGTAGCTGGTCCGTAAGTGGATTGGGGTACAAATTGATGACCATGCCCGTATATGCGCTTGGAGTCCTCCCGCTCATCAAGAAAGTTGCAGTGCCTGGTGCGAAACAGGGCTGGTATGCGGACGATGCTGCAGCCGGTGGCAAGCTAACGCCTGTTCGCCAATGGTGGGACAATCTCGTCAGCCAAGGTCCTGGGTATGGCTACCACTGCAATGCCCAGAAGTCACTCCTCCTGGTCAAGCCCTCCAGGTACGCAGCTGCTATCGAGATGTTCGAGGGGACCGGTGTGCAGGTCACGTGTGATGGTTGCCGCCACCTTGGTGCACCTTTGGGCACGGATGAGTTTATAGAACAATTTGTCCAGTCCAAGGTCGCCACCTGGTGTGAGGAAGTTGCGCAGCTCACGACCATCGCTGCATCGCAGCCACAGGCCGCCTACTCCGCCTTCACACAGGGCCTGCAAAACAAGTGGTCCTTCCTCTGCCGGACCTCCTCCATCCCGCCATCCTTGCTTGAACCGCTGGAACACGCAATCAGCGGTCGGCTCATCCCGGCCATCACGGGTCAGGCTCCACCTGGGACAACTGTTCGCTCCCTACTCTCTCTGCCTTGCCGGCTTGGGGGACTGGGTATGGCAGACCCTTGTTCAGTGGCTGAACAGTACACCTCATCCCGAAGGATCACGGCTAGCCTCGTGTCTCGCCTGCTGGAGCAGGAGTCGTCTCTTGGCGACTCTCTGACTCAGCTTCGGACGGTCAAGGCGACGGTTCGGGCCGAGAAGCGGAGCGCGTTCAAGTCTATGGCTGACGCTCTTCGCTCGGATCACCGGGAGCTGGCCCCTGTTCTCGACCTGGCCTCAGAAAAGGGTGCATCCAGCTGGCTGACCTGCCGCCCCCTCAGCCGCCATGGTTTCACACTCAGCAAGGGAGATTTCCGGGATGGCCTGTGCCTCCGGTACGGCTGGACACCTCCTCGGCTCCCAAGCCTCTGCGTGTGCAGTAAGCCGCTGAATGTGAGTCACGCCCTGTCGTGCCCGTTTGGTGGCTTCCCGACGCTGCGACACAACGAGGTGAGGGACATCACCGCCAGAGCTCTGAGGCAGGTCGCTCACAACGTGACAGTGGAACCCCACCTCCAGCCCGTCACCGGAGAGGCCTTCCGCCATCGCACAGCTGTCACGGAGGAGCAAGCTCGGCTGGACGTTGCGGCTAGTGGTGTGTGGGGTGGCCGATTCGAGCGCATCTTTATTGATGTACGGGTGTTCAACCCTTTTGCGTCTTCGAATCGTGCCACCTCCCTCGCTGCTAGCTACAGACGCCATGAACAGGAAAAGCGCCGGAAGTACGAGGAGCGAGTACGTGAAGTTGAGCATGCCTCCTTCGTGCCCGTTGTGCTCTCTGCCTCTGGTGGCTATGGCAAGCATGCCAATGCTCTTTTCACGCGGATCGCCTCTCTCCTGGCTGAGAAGAGTAAGGAGCCATACGGGCAGGTTATCTCCTTGCTGCGCTGCCGCCTTGGGTTTGCCCTGGTGCGTTGTGGTGCTATGTGCCTGCGTGGCTCAAGGAGCATGTTTGCTCCTGCCATGCCTGAGTCCCCTGCTGTGCTAGTGGCGGCGGAGGCACGCATCCAGTGAACCTGCACAGTGCAGTGATCCTACTGAGTGACAGACTCTGTAAATACTGTATATGATGATTCGTTTTTATAATATGTGTTGATTCTTCACAAAATGTGTTTTTTTGCCCGTACAAGAGGCTCAGTTTTCCGTGTGACAAAAAAAAAATTGATGACTCTCTCCCCAGGTCGATCTGGTCGTACACTGCCGTGTTCGGAGTTGCCAAGGGCAGCTACGTGATTTGAAAACTCCGTGTGGCGGAACCCAGATGCGCATGCAGTTTACGTAAGACTTTCCGTAGATCGACTACGTTTTTTACTAACGTAATTACGTTATGCTGAACCTGTCTATTGACCAGATTGACATGATTGAGGACCTCCTAATGTCGGTGGGCCTTGACTAATACCAAGAGTACATATTATGTACTCTTGCTAATACTCTTACTTCAAGAACAGTCCCTACTGACGTCAGTAGTAGCACGGACCGGTGGCCGTGGGGGGACGCTATGATTATTTGAGCCCAAAACTCCGCTGCTAGCTACGTAACTCGTTGTCGTCAGCGTCGTTTGACGTAACCCCTCGAAACCCTATTGTAGTAGAAGATTCTTAGGGTGCGTTCTTAAATTCTCTAGCTTCTAGGAGAAGAAGAAAAGAGAAGTCGAAGAAACTGGGATTCTTCAAGAACGGGTCTCGAAGAATTCGGAGATATTTTGCAGATGTCAAGCAAAATGAAGCGCCAAAGGGGCCGCGATCTTGAGTGCCACGAATATAGTATGCGCTGTGCGTATGCGAAAAGGGAAATGCGTACACTCATGATCAACACGTGGCGTTTAGCCTAGTTCGCATGCGCTGATCCCAAACCGCGGGAATCTCCAAGTTTCAACCACCTCTGAAGCTTGGAGAGCTTTGGAGAGCCTCCTAAAATTCGGAGAGGATATAAGAACAGCTCTCGAACTTTTCGGAGAGTCTCCAACTTTTCCGAGAGGATTTAAGAACGCACCCTTAGCTTGCAGCCAAGCCCGGGGACACAATCCAGCATAGTACTACGAGTACTAAAACATTGTGAAAAAGGAGAAGGACAAAATATTACGAGTTATGACTAACTGTCCACCAACGTATACAGTCAGCGAGTGCGACAAAATGGCACAAAACAGGTGGACAGTTTATAATAGTCATAACTCGTAACATTTTGTCCTCCTCCTTTTTCACAATAATTTAATTGGCTCACCATCCGAGTTGAACTACTAAAACAGTAAACATGGTCAAAGTAGTGACTGGGTCCAACCAAGTCGTACCCCTACAGCAAAGTGAGAGAAACGCAACTATCCTGTGGGTGCAGCAAGCACTGCATTGTCTTGTCAAGTCTCTGTACAGGCCAGTGTGTGTGTGCAGTGTAACTGCGCAGAAGAAGAAAAAAAAGAAGAAGAAAATAACTACAGTGATAGATCGTGATAAATTTGAACATCTCTGCGAAGCATAGCGCAAAACAAGAGCGGGCAAACGGTGAAGCGCAACGCGAGAGAAGACGCTACGGTACCAGCACAGTGTACGATATAGAGCACAGTGCGTCCGGGGAGGGGAAGAAGGCTGGCTATTCACAGGGCGGTGGCAGTATGTACACAGGAGAGAGAGAGTGGCTGGGCGAGTTGAAGCAGTCCGAGACAGCGCGGCCACCTTCGGGTCGGCAATTGTGCGGGTAGCATCGGTCTGAACGCATCCCCGTGCGGCGAGCAGTAAAGCATGGGGAAGGTTAAAGCATAGGAAGCGGGTTAAAGTAAACAAGAAATATCCAAAAAATAAGAGGCTAGATAATATGTACGGGGTGGGGGGGGGGGGGTGTTGAGCATAAAACTAGGTCAATCGGACTGTGCTATCGGCGGCCTTTCGCTGAAGTTCTTCTCGTCGGCACGAAGCAGAGCAGCTGTAGGAGATTGGCTTGGCGGAACTCCATGACTAAGTCAAGTAGCACAACTCTGTGGGCGGAACGTACACATGCAAACACACATACGCGCACACGCAGGCACACATACACGCATACACAAACCAGGAACAAAGGGGTGAGTTGGGGTGGTGTGCAGCGAGCAAAAATGAGCGGTCAAAGGCCTAGGGTAACAACACGCATTGGGAGTGAATCCATACCAGAAATGCACCAGGGACACTTGACATAAAATCAAACCAGCACCAGTGTTGTATGGCAAAAAATGATGCGAAAAAGAAATTTCCCAACACTCGTACGAAACGTCAAACCCCTACGTATTCTGCTCACATGCACGGTGCCTGGTGGGAAGGGGTCCAGGTACATGCACAGCTCGTCCTACTTTGTGCATGCAATGTCACAACAGTTTCAGCTGCCTAGTCCTGTCAGCCATTGCTTAGTGCCCGACTGTTACTAATTTCCCATCACAGCGAATGACCGTGTGGGAGATGTGAGGAGACCAGGGGTTGAATGAGTACTGTAAGACATGTTATTATAACGAGTCGCAAATTTAACGATTGTCCAAAATTCATAGGTTAACGAGAAGATATGTTAACAATCTTGCAGTATTCTGCCATATCCACACACAGCATATATGAAGCAGTACAGCCTCAACGGATCTTATTATAACGAAGAAATGTCATCCGTTAAAACGTTAGATTTGCTTCCTCGTTATATATATATATGTCTTACAGTACCACGTTTTCCTAAGTAAAAGCCATACTGGAGTATAAGCCACTCTGGAGTAAAAGCCACACTGGAGTAAAAGCCACACTGGAGGGTAAGCCACACAGGAGTATAAGCCACACTGGAGGGTAAGCCACACAGGAGTATAAGCCACACTGGAGTATAAGCCACACTGGAGTACAAGCCACACTGGAGGGTAAGCCACACTGGAGTAAAAGCCACACTGGAGTATAAGCCACACTGGAGTACAAGCCACACTGGAGTACAAGCCACACTGGAGGGTAAGCCACACTGGAGTATAAGCCACACTGGAGTATAAGCCACACTGGAGTATAAGCCACACTGGAGTATAAGCCACACTGGAGTATAAGCCACACTGGAGTACAAGCCACACTGGAGGGTAAGCCACACTGGAGTAAAAGCCACACTGGAGTATAAGCCACACTGGAGTACAAGCCACACTGGAGGGTAAGCCACACTGGAGTATAAGCCACGCTGGAGGGTAAGCCACACTGGAGTAAAAGCCACACTGGAGTATAAGCCACACTGGAGTACAAGCCACACTGGAGGGTAAGCCACACTGGAGTATACGTCACGCAGGAGTAAAAGCCACACTGGAGTACAAGCCGCACCCAGCTTGTTTGTCATGAAATGCAGCCATCCCACCCTGTAAGCTATATCACCATTCAGTTGCTCATCATAGTATAAACCACACTGACTTTTTCCGGTGAATTGCGAGACGTGGTGTTATTCGAGACAGTAATGCGGCATACATGTACCGTAAAATACAGTTCACCCCCCCCCCCCCCACGCTATGTCCGTCGCTTCCCAGCTCAGGGCTCACCACGACCGTACAAAGCGTCAATAACGGTCATTCGGATTTGACCGATCAGCGCACGGCAAAATGGGCTGTTTCTCGCAATTGTGGGGTGTTTTCCGAGCTGAACTTGGCTGTATTCGTTGGTTTTAGACATTAGGCCATTGTGGATTCGTGTTCAGAAGGTGTGTCTTTGGAGGGTTACCGTCTCCAATTTTTCGATTTGGCATTCATTTGCCTGAGATCGGATGGTGAAATCACTCAAACTCGAAGACGTGCGAACAAGGGAATGAAGACAAAATATAGAAATCGGGGACGGTAAACCGATAGAGAATTCCAAGACCATGAAAATGAGCTATCGACGGTGAGAATCGGCCAAGTAGAACCGCTGAAGTATGTTTTTGAAGACATCAAGGTCGGCCGTGCGTTCCCGCGCGCACCAACAAAACCTGGCGGCCGTGCGCATATCTGCAAGTGCAACAAGAAAGGGCCGAGGAGACAGCAAGCGTTCCAAGTGAAGAGTTCCTTCGTGTTGACTCAAGCTAAGGACTCAGGCCAGTCCGGGATCATACCAGTCATTTGCCATCATGGTTATGACTAAGGAATTCATGTGTGGCCAGGAAACTCCACACTCGCAGGGGGAAAGCTGCGAGGTCAAACAGAAAAGAGTGCGCCGAGTCGCGATCAGGAAACGCTGAGTTCGACTGACAACATTGGTTAGCTAGGCGCGGCAAAGTCTTGGACTTCAGTTCACCAGTACCGCACGGACATATCTTGGTCCAGTGGCGGGTTTAGGGGGGGGGGGGGGGGGGGGGCGGGGCGCCCCCCTCAAAAGTTTCGACCTTGGTTTCGAAAAATAAAAGGCAGGGCGCCGGGGCTAGCTAGGCTCGGGGCGCGCGCGGCCTGAAACGATCGTCCAAAAGCGGTTGCACGGTACGGTGCTCGAGCTGGTGTTGATTGTCCACACTACAGTCCAGACTAGTAGTACAGTCTACAGAGTACAGTGAGCATGCACGGCTACAGAAACACGGTGACCTGACTGTGTACACCGTACTGTTGTACAGTGTGATCCCTGCTGGGACGCGCTCGACGCGTCTTCGACGTTACGTACAAACATCGAAGAAAAGTCTTCGATCGAGTCAACCAAAACACGATTCGAATGCCGAGGGCTCAGGCGATCATCCTCGTTCGAATCGTGTTTTGGTTGACTCGAAGACTTTTCTTCGATGTCTCAGCGACATCCCAAAAGGCCAAGCTCTAGCCAGCAGAGCCTGGATTTTTTGTAAAGCGTTCCTGTGGCGGCGCAACTCCTGCTGCAGCTCCAACAGGAAACAGTGGGAGTGATGAAGTCACTGTTATTCCAGTTGAACTTTCGGAGCGGACAGACAGTCACACTCCGCCAGACGTGGAAGCACCTGTTGTCAGCGAGCAGCTAGAATGAAGAACAGCGCACAGTGACAAGTGGACATAGTACCGCTGCCTATGTAAAGGATGCTTTGAGCGGGGAGAAATTGTTGGACTCGCATAAATTGCAGTTGATTCGCTCACATGTCATCACATAACGGCAAATTTGAAGTTTACAATTATGTAGATCTACAATGTTGCTGCGTGTACAGAAATATTGCTCGTGGTGTGTGAGATTTACGGCTTCTTGACATCGGTTTTCAAAATGGCTGACCTGGGACAGTAGCATGATGTCTACCCCACCCAGGGAGTCGTAAAATAAAGTATTTTACGACTCCCTGCCCCCACCCCATCCCATCCCCTCGACTGTACATCGCTGTACATCGATCAGCATGAACTTGGGTGCGTAGCCGCTATGACTGCACAAACGCTGGCCTTGGCGGCATCGCCATGTTTTCAAAATGGTGGTCGACGCTTTTCGAAGTTTGTATGGTCGTGGTGAGCCATGCAGCTGGGTTTTCGGCAGGGGGCGGGAATTAGATCCAGGCTGTCAAGTGCAGTACGATGTACAACAACGTGGAATTTCAGACTCGATGAGCTGGATTGTGCACATTTTAATCCTGCACTGGCAAGTATTGTGTACAGCAGTGCATGCGTCACTTCAACATCGTATTTCGTTGTATACGCCGAAGTCGCTTCACAGGCAGAAAATCGACAGGGGGGGGGCAATTAGAGAGGGGGCGGATCAACGATACTTTACGGTACAGCCATGTACTTACTGGTCATCTGCACTGATATCCGCATGGCTGAGCAGGTCCTTGGACATCTTCAGGTGGGTACTGTCAACAGGCGGTAGCGAATACCAACAGCACAAGAAAGACACGAATAAGACAGGAGCAGATGCCAATTTCACACCCGCACTTGAAATAAAGTATCTTCAGAGCCCAAGCTACAACAGCAGAATTCTCTTCCTGTGCTAATGCCACTGGCAACAGTGCAAAACTTCAGTAGGGAACAGATCAGCAGCACTGCCCACTCACATTGACTCCTCACTCTTGTAGGCTGAGAGACTCTGCTCCAGAGCAAGGATTTCCAGCTTAGCCTGCCAACAGAATGCATACAACACACCGCAATCCACAACAATAGTCGGACGTCCATAATTATAATTATTGATCTTTCATACAAAACGAAGAGGATTCGTTCGTGGGTGGGTGGGTGGGTCGAGGACAGTTTTGTTTCGAATGATATTGATAGCGGAAACACCAATCCACTCTAGTTGAAAGTCCATAATAGTTTTCGTTCAGGGGGGGGGGGGGACGAAGAGGATTCGTTTGTGGGTGGGTGGGTGGGTCGAGGACAGTTTTGTTTCGAATGATATTGATAGCGGAAACACCAATCCACTCTAGTTGAAAGTCCATAATAGTTTTCGTTCAGGGGGGGGGGGGGGTTGACCACTAAGCCTTTTTGTTCGTGAAAATTATCGATAATGCCGGATGGCCCATAACAACAATAAGAATGCAACACAGAATGTCCTGAAACGTCTGGCCATACGCCTGGCATCGTCAACTGGAGAGCCACACAGTGCGCTCTCGGGGCGGATACCCTGTGAGCTTGATTTCACAATAGTCCGTGATTTTGTCATGACACGAGACCTTCGGTCGGGGGACTACACTGCACCTGACCAGGACAGCGTATGCAGCGCCCAAACGCCCTTCTGCTGCACTATTGTCTTGGTTTTGCTTGGGTTTCAAAATTTCCCGTAGGTGCATGCATGTGCACTCCAATAAAAACAAAATAAAATGCTGGGTGGTTATCAGAAGAAGGTAAATTTCACATTGTTTCAGGGACCACCCAAGCGATGTGCTACCGCATGAGTCTCTCATACCAGTTTGACTCTAGTCATTCCGATTATTTGGCTTCAAGTGCTTCTGTTGTTTGTTTGCCTGCTCCTGTGCCTTGCAGTGCAAGGCTAGGTTTCGTTGTGACGCATCCTATGCTCTGCTTCGCTGTGTATTTAATTATCGCAAACTGTACTACTAAGTCATCAAGTATTTCACATTCTTATCGTCCATTCCAGGCAGTACTGTACCTGCAGAGCTCCGTTGGTGCTGAACTCAGGCACTTTCTCCTTCAGCGTAATGTACAGTGTCTCGGCTATGATGTCCAGCAACGCTGTCAGAACGCGCCGCACCAGAGACGTGGAGATAGAGAATACCTGGACGGAAACAACAACCAAAAAACAGGAAAAAAGAAAGTGCATCGTGATTCTGTGCAGAAAAAGCACAACAAATGACAGACGAGTAGGGGGACGCCATTTTTTCATAGGTGGGCGCCCGATCAGAGTAGGGAGCACTACCCCCCCCCCCCCCCTTCCTAGAGCTCTGTTATTTCTATCCAACACTCTATATCATAGAGGCTGACGTGAACCAACAACTCACCTCAAGATGCACGCGTACAAGTTCAAGCAGCATGTCCTTTAGATAAGGTCGAACACCTGGACATGTCGTGTTGCATACACAAATGCAAGCATGCACATTTATACACACAGATACACGCTGAAATACACGAGGGACACAACGTCATATATGAGCACAAAGCTTCACCCAAGTATCTGTGTGACACGCGCACATGTGCATAACGTTAAACGTACCCACTGTACAACTCACCTTCATGTACTGTAAAAGCAGAAATTTTCGGCGGTGTAATATTTTCGGTATTCGCCAAAATCGGCGGTTCGGTAGCGGGAAATTTTCGGTAAAACCCGTTCTCCAGGTAGGTGTACTAGTACTACATGTATACAGTATCGGTTGTACCGAAAATTTCGGTGCGTTTTATTTTCGGTAAAAATTATCGGCACCGAAGTTACCGAAAATAAAACACCACCGAAAATTTCTGCTTTTACAGTATTTCTGCTGTTCTACAATGGGGAAAGGCAGAGCTGAGTCCACAAAGAACAAAATTGTATTGTCGCCAGATTGTGTACTATAGTCTGCTCATCAATTCGGGCCCGTGACAATTCAATACGTATGTCGTTTGGATTGGCTAGACTTCCCTAACATGCATAGTTTATCACAGAAATCCTGCCTCGAACGCATCTCTGAATTGAATAGATGCCTAGCCATCATCCTGGAATAGATGCCTAACAAGCACACTGGCATAGCAGCCTCATACATTGGGCTAGCAGTATAGCCAGCATACCAGCCTAGCCAGCATAAGCCAGCAGAACACTGGAATAGGTGCCCAGCCAGCACACCTAGCAGAACAGGGGAAAGCTCAGCTTTAAATTCGCATCTTAACGGCAAGTGCCCGCCTTCGCATGCAGTGCAACAATGGGGTGGAAACAACACCGGACAATCTCGGCCATACCTTTCGGTCTAGCGCACTCTGCAAAGTTGTAGCCGCCGGAGAAGATACCCTCCTCGAGCCGCGCCATGATGGGCTGACTCCTCAGCTCGATGTACCGATCAAACGCCTTGTCATCGACCTCACGCAGCGCTTCTAGTGCCGCCTGTCAGGAGAAATAACACAAACAGCAGTTCAAGCTAAATGCAACATGCAACACTAAACAATGAACGAAACAATCGTTGCTAAATAACAATGGATAGAGTTAATTGTGCAGTCAGCTGACCGCTAGCTGGTCACTGGGCAAGATTTCACTTCCCACAACATCAGCTGTTGTGCAAAGCTATGAGGTGTGTGTGTGTGTGTGTGTGTGTGTGTGTGTGTGTGTGTGTGTGTGTGCACGTGCATGTATCATGTTGCTGGTGACTCACCACTTTGGCCTCGTTGCCACCGGGGTAGCCATGACCTTCGAAGAAATTTGCCAGGCGAGCAATGACCACATCGTAGCAGTAGGAGCAGTTGCTCATGACAATCAGTAGCTGCTGAGTCTGTAGAGACAGTGCCGGGCACAATCGCAGACCAACCAGGACACAAACGAGCGGCATTTTCAGTGTAGTGTTGCCACATCATTTAAACCAAAATCAGTAGGATTAAAAAAATTGTGGCTGAGATACAGTCAGGTTTAAGCAGAATTCAGCCTAATCGGGTTTGAAAACCCCCCACACCTCAATGGACTGTCGCATTGCTCGGGAAAAAATGAAGAAAACACTAAAAAGCCCTTGCCAAAACCTGCACCGACAAGAAGCACAGTGCAACGATGGCTAGCACGTATCATCTCAGGGACATCAAACACAACGGTTTTGAGACTATTGACTGTACAATTCTTTGCCTCGGGTACCCCGTGAATCAATAAAACCAATGATCCGGACCGTAAATTTCAATTTTTTCAGCAGAGCTCCCAACCCCACACACACTAGTAGTGCAAATTGTACTTATGGCTGACCGAACCACCCTAAAATATCTTCCAATGCCCCAAGCATCTACATGCATCTACAAGCTTCACTTACCAATGTCGGTGCATCCTCCACAACATCGTGGCCACCCAGCAGCGATGACGCAGCGTACGCAATGGATTGACTGTGTACACACACACACCAATGACAAGGATAAGGAGAAGAGTGACAACATCACCATCACCACCAGCATCAGCATCAGCATCACCATCAACAGCAGTCACAATCCATGTCAGCATGACCAGCGGAAATTGCACTATTACCAACAGGTAGCAGCACCATCATCACCACCAACACCACGGCCAACACTACCACTACCAGCGCCATGACTGAGCACCGCCACCACCATAAGCATCGCGAGCACCAGCAGCAACAATCCCCATGTGAGTCGCCACTCAATTGAGAAGAGAACTGGCAGAAAGCACAGCCAGAGTGGTGGCGACGAGATACCAGTTGTGGATTGAACTGGCAATACAATTACACTAGCAGCATGCAAACACAGCCAGGACACCAGGAACAACCATGACCAACAGGACAGGACCATTCCAAGACAAGGAAACCGAGAAGAGGACCAAAATCGGCAAGTACGAAACTTAGCGACTGCCCATTCGGGTCTCAACAGCAAAAGCAACAACAACAACAACAACAACAACACACACACACACACATACGTGCACACACACGCACATGCACACACGCACACACGCACACACACACATACACACAGGCTTACCGTGGAGCACCGGTTTCTTCATCGCTCACTATGGTGTTCTCGGACAGCGTGAGACTGTTCAGGCAACCAGCAAACGCCTGGAATGAAGGAATGAGCAAGAGAGGTAAAACTGCTAATCGTGGGCACACAGTGCACAGCGCAAGTGTTCAATGCAAGCGGCTACACTAGGCACACTGAAGTACGTCGAGAGAACGGCATGCACAGGTGTTCACGCAACCTGTGAAGCAAGGCAAGCCAACAGCAAGAGACTGTCGCGCACATGTGTGAGCACACATACACACACGTGCATACACACACAAACACACTTGTACTTGTACTTGCTCACTGCCAAAACTGGTCACGTGGGTCTCCCCGGGAGAGGGGAGAGAGACTCAAAAGGAATCTTGGAAAGATGACTCAATTGGCCATTGAACCAAAACGAACAAAAAAAACGAACACCCCCCCCCCCCCCCCCCCCACACACACATGAATCAGCCGCGTACTTACACACAAGACCTTGATGAATAGCTGGGTCGACTGCACCTCCAGCGACTTTTGCTTCCCTTCGTGCTGCACAGTGGAGCAACAACAATGACACAAATGAGAGATGAGCAAGACTTAGAGACCTGGCAACATAATAGACTAGCACTATGCGAGTGTCGGGCATAGTCTGGGAGCAAGCATGCATCAGATGATCGACTTTGTATAGCTCTCCAGCTTAGAGTACACCTACTGTATGTCAGCACCTTTAAAGCCATGGCCTTATATTCGAAACATCGCTGCTTTCCAAGATATTTTAGATGCAAAATGACTCACCCACCACGCCATGCTGTAAAAGTCAAAGTACACACTGATATTTCGATCTACATCCACTTGTTCACCCTTTCTGCTGGGCTGGAAGTTTGAAGCCATGGCTTTATAACTGAGGCTGATTTTAAAATCGAATATACTGCCATGGCTTTAAAGGTGCGGACATATGGTAATACACTACTGCGTTGAGTCATAAATGTGTGAAACAATGTTCAACAAAACTATGAAGGGAGCCAGAAATTTTCACTTTGGGGTATTTCTCGTGTCTTCTTAGTTCTTACCACTGCTGGTCCAGAGTCATCCAGTATGACCTCCTTCAGTGATAGAACCCAGTCCATGATACGGTTCTCAAACAGGATGGGCTGTGAAGGCGAGGTCAAAGGCGCGTGCACACACACACACACACACACACACACACACACAAACACATACACAAACACTCACAGACACACATATGTACACACACACACACACACAAACACACACAGTCAGTACAAGGCACAAGTAGAGCTTTCTGCCATGACTCCGAAGACATCTGCAATTATACGAGACCATGCCTGCATGCTCACGGGCCATCATCTTGAACACATGCCAACAGGCACATCTACAGTAAAACCTGTGTTTGCCGGACTCTGTACGAAGCAGAATTCTGTATTGACCGGACAAATGTTCATGTGCTGGCTGTGGGTCGAATGTGCTTCCCAGGATCAAGCAGAAGCCTGTCATATCAGGACAGTTTCCGCTCCAACAAGGGCGTCCGGTTAGGGCAGGTTTTACCGTACTTTTAAAAAAGTTAACCCTTTATGTACTGATTTCCAACACAGAACGAAGCAGAACTAGAATTTTCAGCACAATTTTCACCTTCAACAGGCTATAACGTTGGCCTCCTTCATTTGATTTCCACAACCTTGGGCTCTTTGGCAAGCTCCTGGCGAGAGCAACGCCAGGGTACCAGGCTCCAGCAACTAGCTGCCACAAATCAGGCGCGGGAACACAGCAAAGTCGTTTCCAAGCTCTATATGCAAGCAAATTCCCCCATCAACGCCATTCCACTCTTCTCTATCGCAGAACGCTCAAATCTTTTCGAGGCGATTCAAACTTCAGCCAACTACGTCATTACCATGCGATCAGCACACGAAAAGGATTTCCCTGTAAAATGGCGAAGAGATCAATCAAATTTTGAATTTGTCGAGATAAGAATACGACTCGCGATATCTCTGGATTCGGACATCGTACCGGTAGCTCTTCGGCGATTGTTGCATCGGGAAGCTTGGAGTTTCCGATACCACATAGACCCTTCGATTGTTGAATTTGAAGAAGAAATGATGGAGCTACGAAGGCTTACGGATCGATTATGAATCGATCATTTGTGATCCATTCACGTACACACCGTACATAAAGGGTTAAAAGCACCAATCAGTCCAAGGTGACTTCAAACTAAGAGACTCACCAGGCTGGTGATGCAGCCACCTTCGTCTGTTTCCACCTTCCAATTCTCTCTCACATGCAGATTACGAATATCTAACGGCAGACAGAAGAAGAGTAGGGCAGTGATATGAGAGAGAGGGAGAGACAGGGAGAAAGAGAGAGAGAGAGAGAGAGAGAGAGAGAGAGAGAGAGAGAGAGAGAGAGAGAGAGAGAGAGAGAGAGAGACAGAGAGAGAGAGACAGAGACAGAGAGAGAGACAGAGAGAGAGACAGAGAGAGAGAGACAGAGAGACAAAGAGAGAGAGAGAGAGAGAGAGAGAGAGAGAGAGAGAGAGAGAGAGAGAGAGAGAGAGAGAGAGAGAGAGAGAGAGAGAGAGAGAGAGAGAGAGAGAGAGAGAGAGAGAGAGAGAGAGAGAGAGAGGGATGCCTGCTAGGCGGCAGAAGAGGAGGGAAATGTGTTTGGTGCAAACTGGCACAACTCAAAATCTAAACGATAGCTACAACAGGAACAGGCAACGAAGAGGGTCAAGAACTCGAATCAAAATTAGCACGGGCATGTGATGAGTGAGCATGGCTCACAAGAGAAACCCAGTCAAATGCACCGTGCCCCGTACACATGATACAAGCACAGTCGAAAATAACCAGTAATTATGTCGCGGGTATAATCTGTGGAAAGGGGAGCAGGCCTGATGATGCCATCCTGGGTGAAAATAATTCGGATACAACCGGTTTACGTGGTGTAACCAAGGCTGTTCGTGTGTTGTGGGTCGGATGTTTATTGGAAAGAGGACAAGGCTACAGCGGGGTTTTAAAGTGCTCAAAAAAAGGAGCTATGCTCAAAAGAATTACCACCGGTAGCAAACTCTTGAGCACATAACCCACTATCCTACATCACAGTGAGGAGCAACAAGTCACCTGTGACTGTGTGATGAGTGCCAGGTCATGTCACATGCTCCCCAGTAAAATCAATAATGTCATGTGACAAGTTCCCAGTGACATATCAACCATGTCATGTGACATGGTCTCAGTGACATATCAACCATGTCAGGTGATATGGTTCCAGTAACATCAGCCATGTCAGGTGATATGGTTCCAGTAACATCAGCCATGTCAGGTGATATGGTTCCAGTAACATCAGCCATGTCAGGTGATAATTATGGTTCCAGTAACATCAGCCATGTCAGGTGATATGGTTCCAGTAACATCAGCCATGTCAGGTGATATGGCCTTAGTGACATAAACTATTTTGACGTGCCAGGTTCCCAGTGACATCAGGCATGTCATGTGACCCAGGACCACCCCAGGAACACCCTCTCGAACAAGTACGAGGTGAATTGCTATTTCTGGACATTTCGAGTAAAATAATTTTTCGTCGAGTGTAGAGTCAAGTCAGTCAGGTTGATGAAGTTTTTTCTTGTTGTAGTTGACAGCTGGGTTGTTGTAGTTTCTCCTCGTGTCGGTGCCTTGTTGATAGCCTTTTCTTCGGAGGCATTTCAACGAGTTTTGTGGTACTATGTCGCATGAGAATTTTGAATTTTGAGTAAAATAAGAAGTAATGGACGAATCGTTGGCTTCCCCATGTGCACTGCACTTCAGACGCTGTATAGTCTTGGACCTGTTGGCTGGAAGTGTGAAGAGGCCAACTGCAGTCCACCAATAGAAAAATAACAAAAATGGTGCAGTATTGGATGCCTATTGACGCTATTTTACTCTCATGTCCAGAATTCCATACACTGAAATTTAGGCCAAAAAATTGGCCTGTCGAAAACATCCCGCTATAAAGTGTCTGGGATCACAGCATGAGCAATTGTCACATATTTGGAAAGATGAAGGATTAGGCCATACAATAGATACAAAAAGATATGAAAAATGTAAAACACACAGCCAGTGGGCCTCTATTTTATTTTCATGTCCAGAAATTGCTATTCACCTCGTACAAGTTGGCTTGAATTGGCTTGAACATGCTGATAGTTGACACAGGCTAGGTCCAGTGGTGTGTGTGTGTGTGGGGGGGGGGGGGTACAGTGGGCAACAACTCACCAAGGACAGTCTGCTGAGTAAGCACATTGGCACAGTGCGACTGCAGCACAATACCGGTCTCGGCGATGCACAGCAGCACCTCCGGCTTCAGCGACATGTCCTGCAGCGTGTTCAGCGTCGACCTGGCCACGGCGCAACACCATGGTACACACACGCGAGCGCGCGCGCGCACACACACACACACACATACACGCGCGCGCACGCGCACACACACACACACACACACAACACAAAACACAGAGATAAGTTGCTTGCATGGACAAACCGCACATTCACTCTGACCACTGAACAAGACACTAACTATACATTTTATCTCTTGATTTTCTCTTATACAGTTTCTATCGCACTCCCGTACATAAATTTACATTGCAGCAGCCCCACTGGATGGACAGCTCAGAGATGTCCAGGTATGAGAGAGTCAAACGTGCATCCCCATGCTTCCAACATTGTACGCAGCAGTCTGCTTACCGGATTTGCCGTACGCAGAATGGCAGCCAGGCACTGGATCGCTCCAGCTGGCAGTCCTCGAACGGCTCGTATTCACCGATGGCTTCACGCCGCTCCTTCATCCCCCGGTTGCCCTGCAAGACACAGTCCACACATATGCAATGTCATCAATGGAAAATGAACGATTTTGCAAATGACATGTACATAATACATCCCAACAGTACGCTTGTACGTGAAATATAAACCGATATACAAACCGAGGCGCAGTTGAGGTTTGTATGATGGTTTATATTTCACGTACAAGCGTACTAGTGGGATGTATTATACTTATGTTGACCTTCATACAAACTGACAGTCAACGCCTACTGCTTTCAGCAAGGAATAGTGCAAAAAGTGCATTCCAAGTTACCACAGGACCAAGTAGGAGCTCACATTGGATCGTCTCCATTGCACCTCTGAAAGAAAATGAGCGAGTTTCGAGCGGATTTATAACCGGAAAATATGGTACTGGCAAAGTTTATCGCATCAGCTTGGCTGTTGGCAACAGCTGCTGGGTGGGCCATCGTCAAAGACGGTCGACTTCCCGGGGGATAAGACCAGGGAGTGGTGTGTCATGGAAGTCAGGCAGCCTGTCTCCCAAAACAACCCTATCTAAATCCATACGTGCTGAGATTGCAATATCAAAAATCTGGCCTTAGGCTGCATGGACTGCCCCGACCATTTTCCAGCTATTTTTTTTTTTTTTTACTAGGGAATTCCCAACAGGCACCGATGCCTCGGGTAGCACTGAATTCTACCTATCCACATCGCAGTAAAAAAGATTGCATTGAAACCCATATCGGGTGATAGCAGGGGGTAGCGAACAGCCGCAGAGACTTGACCAAAGGCAACCTGACCAGTTCTGCAAGGAGTGATACTCGCCAGTTCTGCAGAGAGTGCTGCTCACAAGTTTTGCAGAGAATGGTTCAGCTTTGCAGGGAGTGATGCTTGCCTGCCTTAGCAGCTGTAGTGCATCTTAGAATCAAAAGTGCAGCAGCAGCAGCAGCAGCAAATCACAGGCCAGCGCACAGAGACCAGCACAGTACATGTACTTACACCCATGAGCTCCTCAAGAAATCCGGGGAAGAATGAGGCGCGAATCAGGTCAGAGTAGAGGTTTGTGATGGCGTTGATCATAGACTGCAGGCCGACAGTAAGCAGCAGAAACAAATACAGTAAGATAAGAGTAACCAGTATTGAGTAGGCTCGCGCAGACGCTCCACGGGGAGCACATGCAGTGTTCCAACAAGCATTACACAATATGCACTCATCACGCCACAAAATATTCAACACGCGTCGCAGACTGCAACTCCATATTTCACCATTTTAGGTAGCACAAGAATCCAGCCTTTACCTGAAATTTCTTCTCTCCTTGTGGCGTCCTGTTCCTCAACTTGGACGAATCCATACCCTGAACAGGAAGGTAAGAGGATCAGGCAAAGTACGGTGTACCTCTGATAAGACGTGTACATACTGAAGTATTTATTTTTTCATGGAGAAGGCGAATTGTTTTGAGTTTCGCCCGTACAAGAGGCGGTTCCACACCGGAAAAAAAATTAAAGACATAACGTTACTTCCATGGCCAGCAGGAAACTGTACTTAGCATCAGCGGTATCCTACCATCCGACAATTTTAAATGCTTTTCAGTACAGAAAATAATGGCAAAATGAGATGTACATTCACAACACATGGCCGTGTGACACACAGCCATGTAAACGGGGTGCACAATAATACAACACATGGCATCAATCAAATGAATGCTGATGGACAGGTTGAGCTTTCTCCATTGTTCAGATACGCATCTATTATTGACTGAGAAAGATGTCTACTTGTATATATTTCCCCATCTAGACCGATTTCGAAGTCAACAATAGATTCACCACGTGTATTATATTTGTCACGTGTATCACGATTTATCACATGTAATATCTTCACAATATTGTGTTGCAAAACAAAAACAAAATAAATCAAAACCCGGCTAGCTACACTGCTCAATCATCCCCCCCCCCCCCCCCCCCTCCAAACCTGAAGGACTGGGAAGTATTTTACGTAGTGAGCACAGCATCACACTGCACACATGTGTGTATCCCGGTGACAAACCTACCTGAACCAGAGAGCCGCTAAAGTAGGCCTGGGCAAGGCGCCACAGGTCCGGAAGACTCTCAGTGACCAGCGCCGACAGCTCCTCCACGAACAGAACCAGCTGCGGGGTCTTCGCATCGTCCTTGCCAAAACCTGCAGCCAGTCAAATACATATACGCAACAACATAATTATTATGTCATGACCATGGCTGTAAAAGTGGAGAATTGGAGGTGTGGGGCTACATCAATTTTTCGATTTTCCTACGTAGCTTTTGTATCGCCTGAATATACAATGCTCAAGTGAGAAATAATCCTACCCTAGTGTATGCATGCACACAGTAGTACTTCACTCCTGATGAGATGGGCTTTAGTGTGCATCCCCCCCCCACACACACACAACACAACTGTGCAGCCTGTACTACTGTCGGTCCTGGACTCCTGTAACTATACAAAATGCCCAGCCTTGCACTTGCACTGGCCACTTGACTGTATCAAGTCCAAGGCGTACTCCATTACGCATTAGCGCAGCAGAGCCAAGAGACAGTTTGGAGAATGCCACCACACAGGAAAACATTAGGTCCTTCTACAACACTGGCTGCATGATGTACACCAAAAACGTGGCATGTGCCACTGTGCTACAAACGTTGCACTGTAAAACTATCCCCAGCTCCTATCCCACCTGTTTGTAGCATGCAGCATTGCTCAGGAACCCGTACATGCGATCACACAGATCATGTTGCCAAAACTTGACAGCACCAATCAATAAAAAATTTAAATGTCACTGGTACTTAGAATAAGTCTGTACAGCGCCAGCTACAGCTACAAGTCCCCCAGCTACATGCAATTACCCTAATTACATTGCCAAACCTTTCCACACGAATCAATAATGTTACTGGTACTTTACAGCCAGAGCTACAACAAGCAGTGCCCACCATACAACATCACAGACACCACCAGTATGCAGTGATGGTCGTGATTACATTGATTATACTCCACGAAATTGGGGACTGTTGGACCCTGCTAGCATGCTTCCCTCCACCATTGTCTCAATACTACAGCCACTTGAGAGAGATGAGAGGGCCATTATTCTGACTGGCTGTGCATGAGCACCATTTCTCCCACTTGCCTAGCAAGAGCAGCTTCCACTAGGAAGGGGGGAGGAAAGGGGAAATTTGTATAAGTCTTACAATGGAGTAACAGTCCAGGTAGTTTTGCCATCCCGGGCGCTGGACAGATCTAAGATCAAGGTTCCTCCATGCAACCAAACTCCTCCAAGTAGTGAGAACAAAACAGCACAGTGTGTAGAGCCAGACACACAAACATCGGACTGAAACCTGTCGTGTGTCTTTGAGTACGACGTGTGCAGACATCCCCTCACTGTGCTAGTGGGACACACCACACAGGCCAGGGCCCACACACACAGTCCACCACCAGAGGCTCAAACCCACAGTGCACAAGAGCACAAATACACGAGATTGATAGTCACCTAGACCAAGCAGCAAGCAATGCCGTTATAAAAACAAGGCAAACAAACAGCAAGCCCGCAATGCACAAATTGAAACACCCTAAAAAAAAAAGTAGACACTGTTCATCATTGTAATGCTGTATTGTGAAAAATCTCTGAACACATAATAGCTGCAGGATGTAAGCAAAGTGCGAGTACATATACCTGATCTCGGGAAGCAAACCCTAAAAGCTAAGTATATTCTAATGGATAAAAATTAATACTAAATATAAATAGGATCTGATTTGGTATTATGTCGGCAACAATTGTTCTATTCATCGCATTCTTTTCATCGCATTGTTGAAACTCCTTTCTCCGACACGCCCGTTACGATCTGATGTGTTTGTTCTATTTTTCGTTTACCTCAAACAGACGTGTGATTATGCTGTACCTTGATCAACAAGGCTCGCAACTGAAGGTTAAAAATAGAACCGGCTCGCACATCCCATGCCTTGCGTGCAGTTGACTAGGGTACTCAAGGTTGCATGTGAGTGCAACAGAGGAAGAGAGAGAGAGAGAGAGAGAGAGAGAGAGAGAGAGAGAGAGAGAGAGAGAGAGAGAGAGAGAGAGAGAGAGAGGAGAGAGAGAGAGAGGCCTGGGGCTAACTCCACATTCTCAAGCTTCAAGACGCAACAGCAGTCGATCAGTTCGTTCCTAAATGTTCACTCTAGCGAGCAGTACTGATTCTACTAATGTAAACACACACTACAATGACCGCCACCAACGCACAGGCAATTGCCCATGGGAAGAAGCTGGACGTGACAAGAATGGCAAGGTCACGCAGCGGGCCATCCATAACTGTGCACAGTGAGATCTTTCGCGTTGCCGCATCGATAAAATACAGCATTTCGTCATTGCTGCCCGCAACAATGAGAGGCTGAGTGCTGCGTAGTGAGTAGTCTGTGCGGCAGCCCAGTGTCTTGTGCCAGCCAGCCGTGTAGATCTGCTCAATGTCCACCACCGGCACACCGGATGAGTTGAGCAGTACGCCCATGAACGCGTCGTCCACACCGAACCACGGCCGTTTCCAGTGCTCCGCCGTGGACACTGTCAGCGACGCCACGTCTCGACTGAGAATAAGGCCCGCGCCCCAGGCGTACTGGGGGTAGTTTGGCTCCTCGTACTGCTGTACGCTGACCTGCCAGCGGCTGCGCGTGCTGCGCGACACGCTCACCGGACCTGGATCGACGTGGCCCGCGTAGAGGCGCTTTCTCGGCGCTGTGCTCAGGTAATCGTATACTCGCCACAGCTGCACGAAGCAGTCATCATCCAGCAGTATCAGGTAGTTGAATTCAACGCGCTGGGTAGCGTACTTCAGTATCCATAGTACTTTCCAAGTCAGATGACTATACGAATCCACGCCGGGGTACAGCAGGAAATCGGATTTGGTGGCGATCTCATTCACGACTTCTGCTGGCACAGAGTGACCGCCCACAGCAAATCGCTGCGACCAACGTAGCGATCTGTACTGGCACACCTCGTTTCCATGACCACAGAGCTCTGTGTGATTCAAAACACACCAGCAGACAGAGTCCTGTCTTGCTCTGGACTGCCAACCCTGTCTGGACAGTGAACGACGCTCATAGTTTGTCGGTTTGGTCTTGGTGACAAACAGCACACTAATGTCAGAATGGGCAACATTGGGCGGAGCTTTCCGCGAGAAGAGATCGGGCGGGAGGATTCTTGCATTCGACTCGCGGATGTTTGGAACAGGCTGCAGCGACGGAGAAACAGGGGATTCTTTAGGCCCCCGCCGAAACGAATAATCTACGAAGCTGCTTTCATGCCCAGAAGCAGATGGTTTCGAGCTATTGGTACGCAGAAAAACTAGGAGAGAGGCGGTGACTGCGCAGAACAAAATCAGCCCGTAGTTGCAATGACATCCAGGGGAGCGGGGTCTGCTTGAGATCAGTGAAGGAGAGGACTTGATACCTAGTAGTGGCATTCCTGCTACTCCCTGCCTTCTCGTTGTCCACATGCAGAAATCCTCAAATCTAGCCCTCGATCTCGCCTGCCCGCCAATTGCAGGTCATTTCACATTCAGAAATCCTAAATTCTAGCTCTCCAGATCTCGCCTGTCCACCTCAAAACCATAGAATGCCACAATGAGTACGAGTAGAAAGGAACATGATTAATTTGAGTCACAAAACGAAACAACAGGTTGACAAACAAGTCCACAAAACACTGAAAAAGTCACACACAGTGGAGTGGTACTCTGATCTGCTGAGTGCCACACTTCACCACGGCCCGCGCGCACCCGATCGATCGAGCGCGCACAGACAGCCTACAGAGCGCAAACAGGCGCAAGCAAGGCAAGGATTAGGTCCACACGCGCACATGCCATGGCCAGGCCTACACTACACGTACCGTACCGACGTAGCTTGTTCCCCGGCCCGGTCGATCCAGCATGCAGCAAAAAGAGTGCAGTCTGTAGTCTACATGACCATGATTGACTGTACTGTAGAGATCTAAGCTGCGGTACGCGGTCTGCATGACTGCACCCACTTGCCCGCGATCAGTCTGACTCCGCCATTCTTGACTGCAGCAGCGAAAACTGGAGCAGCGGAGGTCACAGTTCAACTGTTACTAGTATTTTTCGGCCATGCGTGCTCGATTCTGATCATTTGCAGAAGGCCAAAACTCAAAACGAAGGATGGATCCAAGAGTATAACAATTATAGACCCCCCAAGAGTGTGCAGCTCATTTTACCCTTTCTAAAACCGTTTGCTGACTGTGAAAACTGGGAAAACTCAGATCACATAGTGTAGTGTCAAGCACTTGTACTTTGACGTTTCCAACGTTTTTTAGCAGCAGAGTAATAAAAAAAGCACTCTCTGACAGACACTCACTGCGTGTACATGTACATGGTGTATGCAAATCCCCAACATGAATGATCATGGCAGATACTAGTACTTAGTAGTACAGTATTCAGATTGCGCACAGGCTATCCTTCGTTTGTACGTACATGTAGTACGAAACGTATCTGAGACACGTGATGTGAGTTTCGCCGTCGAAGACTCCATAATCCATACACAAATCTACCAAGTTAGTTGAGATGCACAAGACTTCCCTTTGCTACATTTTTCAACAGAGCTCAGACAGTTGTGGGAAGAGCCTCCACATGAGACAACAAAATAACACCTTACAAGTGCCACATTTCTGGGCCATGGCACATCCCTGTCACTGCCGTAAAACCGGAAAATTTCGGTGGAGTTTTATTTTCGGTAACTTCGGTCCAGGTAATGTTTACCTAAAATAAAACGCACCGAAAATATACATATGAGTACATGCATGCCCGGCAAACATCCTGGAGCATAGCCATGTTGCTAGGGTTTACCGGGTGTTATAGGCGATTCACACGACAGGCAAATCCACGTTTGTCAGATGCCCGCAGGAAGTGAAACGTGAGGCTGCAGTTCACATGGCCGCGGGTGGCGGCCAGAGCTCCCGCCAGTATCCTGTGAGTATACGGCGTTACTGTGGTGATTCGGAATGAGTACCCAAAGACGAAGGCCAAACAACCAGGGTTCAAGACTACCGTACGATAGTACGACCTCACAACCTCATAACTGTAAAAGTGCCCGCAGATGAGTGCATCCGCGGGCAAAAAGGCCATGGACACTTTTGATTCCCGCGGGCAAATTTTGGTCGCCCGCAGGAATATCTCCATGGTGACTTTCCTGTAAACGTGGATTTGCCTGTCGTGTGAATCGCCTATTAGCGGCCGTTGTGAGTTCCCTTCGGGAACGGACACGATAATTTACTTTTTTTTTTTTACATGCATGCCGACTGCAGCATGGTTTACCGAAATTTTCACGCTACCGAACCGATTTTGGGAAATACCGAAAATATGACAGCACTGAGAATTCCCAGTTTTACAGTACATCAGATACATGTATTTACCTACAGTATTAAACATGCAAATCATGCTACAGTATCCCTCTACTCTAGCTCTGCAGGCATGAGCCGGGTGAGTGCCCCTGTGTGGATGATCTTTGCTGGGTGGCATTGGGTACTTGACAAGGTGTTTAATTACACTAACTACTGCCTCATGCTTCACCAGTGCAGCGGCAATCATCAATACTTCCTGGAAAATTCAGCAGTCCACAACTATTTGGAACCAGCAACAGGTTCCTGTCATACAGGAAGCCCAGTTTCCTTTCAAACAAAATCTTAGTATGCGCTACATCCTGGAGCATAGCCATGGCCCATGTTGCAAGCATGCACACATTACCTATATGCTGACAGCCCGTGTCATCGCTGCTAGGACTCAAGTAGGAGTGATGCTGCCAACTGTTCCTTCCTGTCCTGGTACTCCAGGATGCAGTGCAGGTACAGAACGCTCAGGCTGTGTGTGTGAATGCATTACATCCTCAGTGGCTGAAGTTTGTTCCGGACCAGACAAGGGAACAGTTGGCTGCACATCTGCTATACAGTAGCACACTACTGACAGTACAGTATTGCAAGCAGCACATCCTACGATTCCTAGGCTTTAGTTTACTGAGTAGTAGCTCAAGTGCAGTGCCCCTACATGACAGATCATTCATCATTGACTGACAATGCCACGCCTTTCAATGACAGTCAGTGGGCAGGGAGATCTCAGATCTGCATGCCAGGCCACACAGAAAGCCCTACATTGTAGTGCTTTCAGGTTGGCATGTCCATGATGACGCACAGTACATGTACATGTATGTCCACTGGGTGCTGCCTCACTCAGCAACGTCTACTAGTATGCTCTGTGCTATTGCAGTATTGGCGCGCCTGGTTGTGATGAAGCCGAGAGCCAAGGTCGGCAGAGCATCCCAGACCACGCCACCACTCCCCTTATTCATGGCTCACACATGACGGGTTTACGTGGCTCCAGTAAAAAATTAAAAAAATCCCACAGGTCCCCAGCATGAAAAAACTGGTACTTATATGGGTGATTCAAAAAATGTAAACTGGCATGCTGTGCCTACACAACGCCCCCCCCCCCCCCCCTTTTTATCCGGTATCGCATCGCTGTTTGCTACGCAAAATCGATCTACTGCTACTCAAAAATTACAGTGACACGCAGAAAACTGCGATACATACATAACATATATAGGTTATCCATGCTTTTCGTACCTTACGCCACAATTGAGATTTTGCATAGTAAAAACTGCTATGCTAAAACATGGCAGTAAATTCATCCCTGCATGTACACCAAGCCTGCTCTTACCTCGGTCAGTAGAGCTGGTGTTGTTAGGCGGATTGTCTGCAGCGGCGAAGGTGAAAGACGCACATACGTACACATGCACGCGAACACACACACACACAACACACACACACATGCACACACATGCACAAGCGACATTGGCGAAAAAACAATAACCAGCGAAAGACGGACGGCTGCCCTTTAGTAAAGCACTGCCGCATGAAAGCAATACTAAAAAGGCATTACGGTGAAAAAGGAGGACAACATGTTACGAGTTATGACAAACTGTCCACCAACGTAACCAGATCTTATACAGTCAGCAAGTGCGACAAAATGGCACAAAACTGACACCATAATTTAATTGCCTCACCATCCGAGTTAAAAAGGCATTCATAGAAGAAATCACACTTCGGAAGCAAACAGGACAGTTATAACTGTTACAATGGGAAGCAACCATTACAAAAGGTAACGTTAGTTGACGTAACAAAGCAAAGGAAAGAGAGGGTAAAATATGAGCCACAGCCAACTGAAACATGTCTAAGAGTGAATTTTTCGAATTTTTACTTGCATTTTATTCCAGAAAATTGTCACTTTGCTGGCCAGCTATTTGAACTAGACCACCCAACAAGTGTGATAACAGAATTCGACAAGGTGATCTGCATCTGTTGGTGAATGAAGTATAGCGTGAACGCGCTCGACGGAAAACAAAATTTAATTTTCATTCCGTCATGTCTCAAAAAAATTAAGAAACCCCAAAGACATGTTCTAGCTGACCGCGGCCCATATGCATAGGAATGTACAAGACAGTATTAAGTTATCATATCCTTCCAAATAAGTAATGCATTGATTAACTCTTACCAATAGAATCCACTTGGATGTTTAGTTGAGGAATACCAGCTCCAGTGACTATGATTGGGTCCATCTCAGCAGTTATATGGTCCCCTGTATGTACATGCATAGAGCAAGAACAAGAACAAGAACAACAACAACAACAACAACAACAACAACAACAACAACAACAACAACAACAACAACAACAACAACAACAACAACAACAACAACAACAACAACAACAACAACAACAACAACAACAACAACAACAACAACAACAACAACAACAACAACAAGAGAGAGAGAGTGAGAGAGAGAAAGAGAGAGAGTGAGTGCGTGAGTGAGAGAGAGAGAGAGAGAGAGAGAGAGAGAGAGAGAGAGAGAGAGAGAGAGAGAGAGAGAGAGAGAGAGAGAGAGAGAGAGAGAGAGAGAGAGAGAGAGAGAGAGAGAGAGAGAGAGAGGAGAGAGAGAGAAAGAGAGAGAGAAAGAGAGAGAGAGAGAGAGAGAGAGAGAGAGAGAGAAGAGAGAGAGAGAGAGAGAGAGAGAGAGAGAGAGAGAGAGAGAGAGAGAGAGAGAGAGAGAGGAGGGAGAGAGATAGACACACACGCACAACACAGTTTCATTGCCCACGGCTGCTCTGTGTGCCTAACACATCTCCACAGTATTGAAACCGGACCCAAGCAGCACGCTCTAAATCTTGTGATAGCCAATGGCCAGTGCACAGCATGCCTTACCGCATTGATAGTCCGCCTTGCAGCTGAGGATGAGGCGGATGAGCCACTCTTGCTGATGCTGGATGCATGCCCACGCTGGATCTCCTTCAGCATGTAGCTCCATCAAGTACCTAAGAACAAGAAACACATGAATGGAAAACTCTGATATCTGAGATGCCAGCAGGAAGGATAGAATTTCACACTGCCTCTCGTTTCCACTTCCCAAGGAGGGTTTTCATTTTGTAGCGAGTCGGATAAAACTACAGTTTGGAAACAGAACTGTCCAATGAAGTAACAAAGTAGGCACACAAAGCCATTCAGTCGTCATAAGATGAAGCATGAGCTGGATCAGTTGTCTGATGTCTGTTTTTCAAGAACCTCAGAGAAAGAAAATAGAGCACTTCACTGAATGCATGTAATAAGAGCCTTCAAAGACAGTTGGCCTCTCTACAAGGCACTATACACGGGTTGTAAAAATAATAGTAGACGCAGGCCATATGCATGTACGACTGGTCTTTTAAAGTAACACATGGTCCTATTGCGGAATGCCTCCACCCATCTTCTCTCTCTCTCTCTCTCTCTCTCTCTCTCTCTCTCTCTCTCTCTCTCTCTCTCTCTCTCTCTCTCTCTCTCTCTCTCTCTCTCTCACACACGCACACGCACACACACACACACACACGCATGTGTAGTAGCTCACCGAATTAGTCTCTTCTGCTCATCCAATGTCGAGGGCAGCTCTTGCAGCTTTTTCAGCAGCTGTCCTCGGAAATTCTTCACGAGCGTCTCCACCTCAGTAAGAACTGAACACAGCACCAGCAGCGACGATGGCAGCAAGACAATCCACAAGAGTTCAGTTACAAAGCACATGCACACAAAGCTCCAAACATGGCCAAACATAGAATAGCGATGTGCACAGGATCCTAGAAAAACTCTGTGCATGCACTGTGAGTTGATACCAGCATCGACACACATTGTTCGCACTGCCACACAAAGCGGCATCAAGTGGAATATCAAAACTAAATGTACTAGTACAGGCATCGCCTGTCTCACCGCCAACACATGTGAGATAGCAGTCAGGTGTTGGGCCTCATTTCTTTGTGTTGGCCAGATGAATCCACAAGGGACGCACCCAGCACAGTGAACAGGTCAAGTAAGATACTAGGACAGTCAGACCTCGCTTATCCGGTCCTCTTTTATCCGGATCCCTCACCATCCGGAAGAAAATCGTTGGTTACCGATTTACAGCATATAGCATGCATACATACAATATTGTGTGTTCGATTATCTGGTTTCCTCGCCTATCCAGAAATTTTTGTGGAAGACGGAGGTGTGCGGTTAAGCGAGGTCTGACTGTAGTAGTCATACTACGGTTGTGGCCAATGAAATCCAACCGCGTGAATCTAGTAGCGCCTCATTCCAGTGCAGAGACCAGTGTGTGTAGTGCTAGGACTGCATAGCACCCGGCAACGCTATTCTACTCATGAGGTTGGATTTCTCTGGCCAGTACCGTACAGTTGCATGAAGCAACAAACAGCTGAACTACATTGTACTCTGCCTCTCAAACCAGTTGATCCCCCAGCTGCTTCTTCAGAACTGTCTGCTGTACAAGCAGAAAATTTCGTCGGTCAATAATTTCGTCCAACTCCAAAGAAAGGGAGTTCGTCCGGTTGTAACTTTCGTCCATGGATCATAAGAGTTTATTGAAAAGCTGGACAAATCGACATTAGTCCGGCATTTACTTTAGTCTAAAAGCTCCTCGGACGAAAAAGACGAAATTAAAGTCCAGCCGAATATTTCTGCTTGTACAGTATGATAGCATTCAAACCTCACTTGAAAGGCGCATGGCTTCTAGAGCAAAACGCTTCTCTCGATTCTCAAAAAAGCCTGAATAATGTGGCGATGGACCCCCCCCCCCCCCCCCCGAGGTGCAGCAACATGAGCACAATGACATACCTTTCTTGAAGACCTGCACCTCAGTGTCCGCAAAGAGAGACTTGGCACGCTCGTAATCGTTGATGACAATTTCGTATTCTCCCTACAACGCAGAGATCGCAAAAGATTCAAGTGGAAATACTATTATTGTGAATACAACAGACAGTGTGCACAATGTCACTGGAATGCCACTCATACACATTTTGCACACAAAACGGGTTCTCGGCGCATCTAAAAACACCACAACACCGATTACGCTCTACAGATTTGCAGTTTGTACACATCTTCTTGTACACACTGCTTTATCATACATCTGGTCGTCTATACAGGGAACGAACACATTCAGACCAGATCGTAAGTCAACTGGAAACTCACGAACTAACACAGACGGGTACTGGGATACGAATACTGCAAGCATGGTCTGGGAGCCTGAGATTCCATGCCTCCACGTTCAAACGCTGCACACCCACCGCAAAGACCCACAAGGTCAATGTGTGAGTGAACATTGCCACTTTGGACTTCCACCATGGGCCAGACAAAGCGCTGTAGGCAAGCCATGGCTAAGATCGCCGGGCCATCATAACACCCCGGGCTAAGCAGTGGCCAAAAGCAAACCCTAGAATAGGGATGTATGTACACACATACATCCAGCCGCAGAATACAATAAGACAATCACACACACGCACACACACACACGCACACACACACACACACACACACACACACACACACACACACACACACACACACACACACACACAGCAATAACTATACTACAGTACTGCTCAATGAAATCCAGTCACGTCACGCAAGTACGGGCGTTGCGCAGCCCTAGACCTGTGAACAATGGGCTGCGAAATGGTGCACGGCACAAAGTTGAGTGACGCGACTGGATTTCATTGAGCAGCAGTTGTAAACACAGTAATGACCAGTCAACTACCGAAACAGGTTCAAACAGCTCTTCAACCCACTCTCATCAGTGGATACATGGGAATGAAGCAAACAGTCACAACAGTTCAATACACAAACACTAAAAAGGTGCCAGCGATGACATTTAGCGCTAACGATAACCTATCACTTCCTCTACATAAGGAAGCACGCGGCAGAGAGAAAAGGCGCCGGCTTGAAAACAACAGGCATAGCTCTAGTTCAGTAGCCACACTACTTGTCACTTTGGGAAAAGAGCTCAAGCACCTTGGCGCGCTATTTTCGCACGTACAGCAACGATTTGGGCTGCAAAGGTGCAAGGTCTCAAATCTATTGGACTGTATTAAAAGACTTTCTTGGTGTCATTCTCACACATCCAGTGATGAGAATGGGGCAAAATGCTTTTGCAACATGTTCTTGATAGTTAGAACAGTGGTGATATAGACACGCGTGGTGAAATGGTGGTAATTACGCACCTGACCTGCTCACACTCTCTCTCTACGCTACAAAGTCACAAGTCTTGATAGCTGACTGAGTAATGATTCTAATGAAACTAGAAATGTGTTGTTTCTTAACAATCGACGAGGAGACAATAGTCGTAAAATGGCAATAAATAAGCAAGCGTTATGTTTGTAGGTATATTGCGTTTAATGTGGCGTTTCTCAAACAATGCTTGGAGTTCGATGTGACGGCGTTCCACTGATGAAAGTCACAAGAAAACGTTATGGAACTTAACTTTCTTCATCTTTTGCTGTTGTTATGAGTGCACAATTTATCTTATTTATAGCCATTGTGTTGTTTCTGTTTGAGATTGTCACCAGTATAATTTTTCGTATCCTACATGTACACCTCAGCTTGGAATAGACAAAGTTTGACAGGCCCAGCAATCACTGGCCCACACACACACACACACACACACACACACACACACACACAACACCCCTAACAAGCGCACCACCGTAACACTCACATTCTTGATGTTCTTCTCGATGTTGCGCGGCAGGCTGAAGAGGAAGCGGAACCGCTGCATGATGTTGAGAGCGTTACGCATGGAGTCGGCCCGGTCCTTGCGTGACAGCACGTCGTGGAAGAGATCTTCTGCACACTTGACCGTATCTGATGGAAAGAAAATTAAAACAATACTATTATAGGGAAGAAACAGTGAGACTATTAAAGTGATATTCAAAAAACAAAGATAGACTCGCATGGAGAGCCAAGGATTAATTTTTCCTTGGTCCTTTTCTTTTACCATAAATCAAAAAACAAAGTGAGAAATAACTCGTCCTGTAACAAGGCAGCAATAACAACTAGCAAGAGTTATTTCTCACTCGTATTCTCATAACATACGTGATCGCAGACCTCTCCACAGAGATAGTCTTGTCTCTTCTCAATCAGAAACACAAGCCATTATATCGTTCAGGGTAAACTACATGTTGACCAGGACAGCAAGCTATGCGCATGCCTGTGAAGGCACGGCAGACAACAACACAACCGGTACAACAGCCGAGGAATGCTCCACATTCCGTCCGTAGCTTCGCTCACCTTTGAGGATGAACTCTAGCTTCTCGGTGAGGCTGCCGCCTTCGCTCATGCTCTCGTTTCTCAACAACAGCTGATGCATAGGTGCACTCAGGGGTCAAGGAGGATAGCCGAAAAATGGCCGGCACACAGCAATCTCACTGATAGCAGAGACGCATACATGATACAAAATGGAATACCAGAGAGGAACAACCCGGTGCCACGTTTCTTGCCTGGACATGTCTACAATAATTCTGCAATTACGGTCAAAAATTGATTGATGTTGAGTGCCTACACATACGCCATAAAGGCAAACAGGATCAACATACAATGCGCAATCACCGCTCCACACAGATTCAAAATTATTACACCCTGCACAAATCCCCCCCCCCCCACACACACACACACAGTCACACACACACACACACAAAAACACACAAACCACTCTACATGTACGCGCATGTGAAGGGCTCCAATTCAAGTGGA